ATTATTAATTTTCTTATTGTATTTTATACAAAAATACCAATTTTCAGCTTATTTGATTTCTGCCAATTTCTTTCACACCACTGCAATTAGTTCTCACATAACTGTATGCGAGCGTAATGGAAGAGCATAAGGAAGTTGCTGCCTACTTACGTTGACATATCGCATTTGCTACCGTTCTAACAAATGCAATACACATTTTCTTGTAATCTGCCTCAAGCGTATTTAATTTCAGCTTTGAGCTGCTGACAAATATCGCAAATTCTGCAATGAATTTGATACAATTTCTTTTTTTTCTTACTTCTTCCTATTTTTCCACACAAAAATTGTTAAAGAAAAATTTAATCCTCGACCTTTGTAAGACTCGGCAAAAATGGTCGTCCGCCTTACTTCCTGCACTTCCTTGGATGAACGCGAAGCCAGCGCTGAGGTGTATGTGTTAATATATAGTATATCTAAGCCTATATATGCCTAGGTGAATGTGTATAAATGTGTATATGTGTGTGTAGATATGGATTTTCGCCTACAATTTTTATTTTCATGAAATTTCTTTATCCAACTTATTTAAATTTCGCTGCAGTATTGTCTCACCGCTGGGCTCTATGTGAGTAGTGGGTGTTGTCCAAGCCCTAATGTCCTGTCACAACCTATTTTTCTGCTTAGCAAGCAACAAATAAATTCTTTTTTGAAGGCTTAAAATTCTGCTTTGCTTTAACGCGATTTGCAGCTATTAGCTGGCATTTTCTTACACCTTTGAATGCTGCCTTGCAAACTGTACTTTTATGTCAACACAGACACAAATCGTTATACACAATAGTCATTCTAAATTCTGACACATGGCCATGGGTTCCACCCATATCCGTTCTTACGCGTGCCCTTACATTTCAGTCGCTCCAAGAATAGAGAGTAAGTCTGGCAAATTTGCATAATTATAGTGTAAGACGATCAGATTTCAGCTTGCGCAAGCGCTTCCTATCGTAAGACAACAAAATTATTTCATTAATAGTTATTTTTCTCAGCTTTAATTATTTTTGGGGTTGCGCATGCGCAATGCACAGCCACACGCCTTGCGCAAACCGTTGCTATTTGCATACCTGTCCTGTGCTGTTTATTTGTACTATGTGTGTGAGCCCGCCGGACGTGAAACTGTTCTATATAGTGGTTTATTGTTGGGGTGTTGATTTCACAGTTCGATACAATATTTATGCCCCGTTTTGTTGAATTAATTATTTCAGCATTTATTGAGTGCTGGCACAAGCTACCCTTACCCCTATATTACTTATTTAAGAATATGATAAATATAAAATAAATATATTTTTGCCATTCACCCAAGTAACTGGACTTATTATGCTGCAATTTCCTTTCATTGTTTTGTTTGTCGATGTTTTTATGCCCTGAACAGGGTGTATTGAGTTTGCCACGAAGTTGGTAGTAGACAGAAGAAAAGAAGTCGGGAACCCTCTAAAGTATGTATATAAATGAACAGCATGACGAGCTTCGTCGATTTAGCCATGTCCGTCTAGCAGAACTAGTCCCTCAGTTTTTGAGATATCGATCTGAAATTTTGCACACGTCTTTTCTTTCCAAGAAGCAGCTCATTTGTCGGTATCGGTGATATCGGACCACTATAGCATAAAGCAGTCCGTTTCCGAACAAATTGTTCAGTTCGGACCAATATATCTTATAGCTGCCATGCAAACTGTTCGATCAAAATCCAGTCCTTGTATGGAAAACTTTTTTTTATTTGTGAATGGTATTAGAGCTTCGGTGCAAGCGAAGTTGCATTCTTCTCGTGTATTTTACTTTTTCATTATTTCGTTATTATTCCGGCTACTTTTTTATCGGCACACGTAAGCAATTTACCTCTACTACATATTGTCTGTCATCCACTAACCCCTTACTCCGCTGCCGCACCTGGAATGACACACACACACACATACACAAATATTGCGGTCTCTACGTAAGCGCATACGTAATGTCCTGCTTGCAATTGTCCTTAGCTCTTTAATATGCATTCACAATCGCATTCGTTTTGGGGTTGAGGTTTCTCATTGTTGTTGTTTGGTGGCCGCTTGCAATAGCGCTTCGGCCCGGAAGTGCATTAGCAGGCAAATTATGTATGCTTTACGCCTTTGACCAGGCGTAAAGCCTGCCGGTCCATCGGGCTTGTTTGCTGGCTCCCTGTTTGATCTACTGTCTCCTTGTTACTCACTCTTTCATTCGCTCAGCTTTGCTGGAGTTGTTGCCGATTTGCCCACGTGGTCCTTGTAGTTATGCCGTGAGGCGTGACCGGTTACTTCCGTTAACGCAATTAATTCGTTTGCTGTTGCTCTTGCTTGTTATTTTGCTCCTTAAGCTCGAAGCGGAAATGATAAAATGTTTTAATTTTAATTTATTTAGGTTTTTACCCAGCCGTACAGTATGGCACAGTGGTTAGAATGTCTACACGCTTTGTGCGCGTGCATGTTGCGCTTATTTGTTCTTGTTTATTATCGAGTGGTATTAAGCGTTGTAGATGGTAAATAAATTGTGCTTTTGTTGCCATGACAGTATTAGCACTCGATTTTGTTTTTGCTTTCCAAACTTGTTTTCAATATTTTTCGATTAATTTAAGTTGTCTTAAATATCTATTCTAATCTATCTATTAGCTTGAAAACTTAAAATTGTGATCCAACTTGTAAGGGATTCTGAAAATACGAGTATGTGGTTACAGAAATGTTCTGTAATAAATAATTTTTAATATTATAAGTATATGGAGACTACTGTGAGTCATCTGTACATCATCAATTTATTTCTGAAGTGACTTGATTTTAAAATCCATTTTTTGCTGAATGCTAGTTGATAGAAATGTGCCTTATAGCGTTCTAATAACTTATCTGTCATGACCATGTTAAAAAAAATCCGCTAAGATGTGTCGAACATTCATTTATTTTTATTTACACTAATCATAATGCGTTTTTTAAAATTTAAATTGCAGTTTCTTTATAGTTCAACCTAATCTCACTTAATCATAATTGAATCCACTCCAGAAAAATCCATATGAGAGCATATTTTTGTATACACTTTCATTTAAAATCACAAAAGATCATTCGTGAGCTCGTTTATGCTCATCAGCTCCCTGGTCACAAGCTATCTTGAATTTACTTAATTTTTATTGTTTCTCTGCCATTTTAATTGGTTAAGTCTTGATTTAAGTAAATTAGCATTTTTAACCTATTAAGATTATACGAATATTTATAAACGGAAATAGAATCGAGACTTCAGTTATAAGCAATTTATATCCTCTTGTTCTCAAATAATGCTTTGAACTGTATAAATTATATGTGCCACGAAGTTTGTAACAGCCAGAAGGAAACGTCGGAGATCCTACAATATATATATATATGTATAAATAATCAGCATGACAGGCTAAGTCGATTTTGTCAGGTCGGTTTATCTGTCGGTCTATCTCTCTGCCTGTTTGTATATACGCGAACTTGTTCCTCAGTTTTTGAAGTATCGATCTGAAACTTTGCACACATCAAAAAAAAACTGCTCATTTGTCGGAAACGCCGATATCGGACAATGAGAGAATATAGCTGCCAAAACAACTGAAAGATCAAATACATTATAGACAATTTTTTCATTTAACAAAAATAAACAAATGTAGGATCAGTAGGGATTATTGATCGAAGCTTCGATAAAATTTCGGAAGAAATTGTTTAGAGCCGCCAACATTAGCATATATCTGCTACAGATTGTTCGATCAAAATCAATTTTTTGCTTGGAAAACTTTCTTGTTTGTGAAGGGTATCGGTGTACCAAATACATCTAAACTACATAAAACCAAATAAAATCACTATTCGCTGAAAGAAACTTGTGACTTCGCCAACACCAAGGTGTTCTTTATGTAATTGAAGAAGAAAATTTTAACGTCCTTATCCAGGGTCTTGAGATAACTTGAAGTGAGACTCGCTTGTGCTGTGTTTTCTCGTTTTTAAATAAATATTGCATTGTAAGGTTGAGAATGTGCTGGATTTTTTCAGCAGATTTTAAAATCATAATTTTCCGACTCGAAATCAATGCATTTATTAGTAGTTTGTTTCACGCTCCAAGGTTTTGTGAATCGAACAAACAATTTGTATAAATAAATCTTTGCTTTTTTGCTGTTTTCACATGAAAAGAAAGAGAAACTCAAACATAGCAAACAGAGTTGTGGCGAGTCGAAGAAGACTTTGTAGGTTTGCTATCTATTGAGCATGATTGATAGTACATACTAACTTATTGTCTAACTTTCCCACTTTTAAATAGAAATCAAGCAGTGGTTTCCGAAATTTCTCGGTTTTTAGGTTATTGTATTAACATCCTTATTTAAGCAAGCTTTTGGCCCGAATAAAACATACTATAAATACGACTTGTGGTTTATTTTTGGATCAACGGAAAACACCTTCAATTTGTTGTAGAAAAGTTCATTCTGGTTCAAAAAAAAAAAAACAAACACAAGTTCGAAATATTTTAAATTAGCTACTGCATTACTACTGGTTTCTCTTTCTTCTGCAAGATATTTGCCTTTCTTGAGTAGGTTAGGATTGTAGTTAAAACAGTTGATGAAGAACTCTGCCTATTTAGCGTTCTTAAGGTCAAATTCGTTAATATTATATAATATTATATTATTTGAAGGGATTAGAAATATTTTTTTTATGGCATTTCAAAAATGATTTGATATACATAATATAATTCATCAACTTATTTTTATAAATATTTTTCCAAAGCTTAAGGAACTATTTCGCAGAAGCATTTCTGTACTTTTTAACAGCAACTAAAAGCGATCTGGGTCAAAAACTATTTTTTTATAATTTTCAAATTTTGAAAAGGTTCAAATTTTTTAAATTTTGAAATGTCAGCTTTAATAAAAAAAAAATTGTGTTTGCTTTATCAAACTTCTTTGTCGGCTAAAACCATCTTAGAGAAAAAATTGATGCAGCTGAAAATTTTAATACCAGAAAAATAATAAGAAAATGGTGTATGCTTTTCATTGTATTTTGTTTTATTTGGTTTGTTGTTTTTGTTTGCTTTTTATAGTGGTTTGCTTAGTCTACTAGTCTTAGTTTAGTGTCTTCCTTTACTTAAAATTAGCGCTTAACTTATGAGTAGGGTTTTAAATCATTTGTCTTCCATAACTTAAAACTAATAAAAAGGTTTACTTTAACACAATAAAAGTTTGTTTTGCAAGGCACTATTTACAAAATTTGACAAAAAGTGGAACAAAAATTCAACTTTTTCACACGCAACGGTCTTTAAAGTAAAATAATTTGTATTTATGGAAAATATGAAAAGTCCTGAGTTGCCACTGGTCTGTATTGTCTCTCTCTCTCACTTGATTTAAAGATGTATTTGCGCAGGTTATTTCAGTCACTGATTTGCACTGGCAACGCAACTTATTGCTCTTGCCATGAGGAGATGTAGTCCAAGAGCTCCTCATCGTCGGGCTGCTCATCGTCGGGCGACAAATGTGCAAAATCATCGAACGCTTCGAATTTTAAGTGCGACGCATGCATAGCCGTATGTGGCTGTTGCTGCTGCGCCTCCAACTTGACAGGATGTAAATAGTTGGCGCCACCAATAGAAATGTCTGAGTCGCCGCTGTAGCTGGGCGCTGGCGAGACCGAAGCCTCAGAGTGATAGGAGCGTTGCAGCTGATTGAATGCAACCTCGCTGGGACTGCCTATGGAGGAGTAACCGTAGTTACTGCCATCATTGCTGGACTCATCGCAAAGCGCCGTGCCAACGTGCATTTTATTTGCCACGCTGGGTTGCGAATCCTCAAGCATGTCCTGCAGACCGCGTATATACTCAACCGCAATACGTAGCGTATCCACTTTGGATAGTTTCTTGCTGGCGCCGCGTCCACCATGCGACAACGTGTTGATGACCGTCTGTGGCAGATGTTGACGCAAGTTGGCAAAACCGTTGTTCACCTGCTTGACACGATTGCGCTCGCGCGCATTGCGACGCGCCACCGACGGCAATTGTTCGCCGTAGGGCATATTCATGTAGGTGTACTTCTTACGTGGCAGCAGGTCATCACCACCGGCACCCATTTGGATGTTATACAAATTGCTGTTGCCCAGAATTTTGGGTGCGGGCGCGATGTTCTGTTGCTTCTTGGCTTGGTAGACGTTACTTTGCTGTAGCGTTTGCTGTTGTTGTTGCGCTTTCTGCAACAACATTATGTTGCCGTTCAACATTTGAAAGTGATGTTGCTGTTGTTGGTAGCCCGTTTGCGTCAAACACACACTTGCCATTATTTATGATGAATTATTTTAAGTATTGAATGAGTTTTTCGTAATTCGAACAATTTTTTCTTTTCTTAAAACACTCTTTTGTTGTATTTGCACTGATTAATCTTCTACGCTGACTATTTGCTTGCTAAAACTATTTGACTCGTTTTCTGAAGACGAGCTTGTATTGCTATGAAATCAAATGCCTTAATGATTCCCTTCGTCCTCTGGCAGCGCCTTAAGTACAATTTCCACAGCCAAGCAACAGTCGCAGTCCCAGCTCTGTGCTCTGTTCGTCCGTACAGCGTGAGTATCGGCTATACCTGCTTCCTCCCCTGTTGCTAGTCATCGTGCGCTGGCAGAGGGTTAAATGGCAGCGCAATTGATCGTGCCTGGGCAGTGCTTGCGATCAGTGCCACTCAACTCAAGCGGGAATAGGGATAGAGCCGCGCAGCGCAGAGCATCTCGGAGAGCGGAGTCGAGTTACTACAGTACAAGAATACTTTGTCGTGTACGAAAAAGGGTGGCGCACACAGCGCGTGAGAGCGTGGCGAGAGCGCGTGTGTTAGCAAGCAAATAGCATATTTTCTTAGGGGAGCAAGGGAATTCGAGTGCTAAGTGCGCGCTGTACACTGCAATGTATTTGATATGTAGTGGACAGGTTACAGAGATTTAACAGGCATGTGCACAAGCTGAGCTGCGGCGAGCAGTGCGGAGCGAGAGTGATAAATGTTTGTAGGTTTGTACATAGCTACATGGTGGTTTGTAGGTTTGGTAGCACCATTCCTTTGGTAGAATGTGGCGTGTGCCAGTTCAAATATTGTGTATGCCTATGTGTGTGTGAACACATATTTATTGACTTTCTTATTTACATATTTAATCGTGTAAAACAAATGTTGACATTGATATTCGATAAATTTTGGTGAAGATCGTTTTTTATAGGAAATTCAAAGAAATTTCAAAAAAATTAAACTGAATGAAATGATACTGAAAAACAGTTAAATTTTGGCAAGAAAAATAATTTTAAATATAAAATATCGAAAATTAAAGCAATAGAAGTATTAAAATATTACCGTTAGATGAAAATAGCACATAGCTGCCATGCAAACTGATCAAGAAAAATCAAGTTCTTGTATGGAAAACTTTTATATTTGATATCTTCCCGAAATTTAGTTTGGATTATTGACAAACGCAAGGTTAATATATCTGAAGAAATTTTCCAGATCGGACCACTGTAGCATATAGCTGCCATACAAATTGATCACTGAAAATCAAGTTATTGTATGGAAAACTTCTGTATATGACAAGGTATATTCTTGAAATTCGGCATAGATGATTGTCCGTAGCAACGTAACAATATCCAAATATATGGTTCAGATCGCGCTGCTGTAGCATATAGCTCTCATGTAAACTGAACGATCAAATTCAAGATAAAGATTTTCTATGCTAAAGAAATGCAACTGTTAAGAGTAGTTTAGCTGCAGTGCTGGCGAAGTTAACGTTTTTTAGTATTTTCATAAATTTAGAAATGTGTAGAAATCAAAATAAGCTCTCAATGTTTGTTTACCGTTAGAATATTGTAAACTCTTTCTTCATTCTAAAAATTGTGTTAGCCTTTTTTTACGGTCGAAAGTTTTGTATATTCATAAAGTAATTAACTGTATATATACATGTATATGTTTGAAAAAATACTGCTAATGCCACGAATTATAATAATAATAATAATAGAAGTACATTTATATACTATACAGTTCTGCGCCGTAAATATTTCTTCAATCTGAGTAGTCACAAAAGTGTTTAGTATATAATAGCTCTCCTTCTTCGTTATATATGATCGTAAGGTTATACTAAAACTAAAAAAATTAACACTACATTTCATTGAGAATATTTGCAAGGCTTAGCTTAGGGTTTATTGCTTTTTGTCAGTAAAATATGAGAATTTTTCAAATGTGCAGATTTCTAAACATACAAAAGCAAATTCACCCAAATTTTATTATTAATTAAATTTTTAGTATTTCTTTTCTTATACAGATATTTGTTATATTTTCATATTATTCAATTATTTAATAACTTTTTTTTTAATAGTTAATTTAAAACATTTGTAGTCGCTTAGTGCATATTTAAATTAGATTACTTCAAATTTAGCTCAAATCAATAATTTCCGTTGTACATTATACATATGGAAATATGTACAATATATACATATATGTACTCCCATTAATTTAAATTTCTAAGCAAAAAAACCTTCGTTAAAAAAATACAGCTTATTCGGTTCTCTGAGCAAATATGTACATAACTGCGAACGGCGCTGTTATACCAAACATTAACAGTCCATAGGAATCCACTGTTAATTAACATAGTAAACACCCCCACAAGAAACAAGAACAGCTGTTAAGTTACTCAGTGTATATTAGCATAGCAAGCGTTAACAGCGTACTGTTACTACACCTACATGCTTATGTTAGAAAAATTATTGACTCACAGATATCTCTTCGCCTTCACCTTCGCGCACTTGGTTGCGCTGCAGAAACCTGCGCGCAGGATTTCCCCTCCTTCATATGCCAGCTAGTGCAGTCGCACAGCATCCTGACGACGTCCAAGTACCTGACTAGCCAAATTATCTAGATCTTTTGGCTGCACCCACACACACAAGCGCACTTTTCTTTACTTTCTTAGTGCCGTTTCAGACAGGGACGCAAAAGAGTCTCAAACCAGTTTATTGTGGGCGAGGGGACGACGAGGAAAGACGAAGGGACCGTGCCACTCGTGTTCGGGTGGCACGCTTTGTGTTCTTGTTCGTAACAGCTCGCTGCTACCCTTTTCAGCATTCCTTTTCACTTTCAAATCCTTTGAATGGTTGCAAGAGCGCTCGGTTTCAAATGAATTCGATCGCAAATTTGAGTTCTGTTATCTATTTTTGTATGTAATATGCAAATATGTATGCATAGAATAATAGAAATATTATGACAAATTGTAAATAAGGAGAAAATTAAGATATAGATTATGGAGTAAAGAAATTATGAATTTTTAATACGCAGTAAAGAAATTATGAGTTTTTAATACTTAAAGATTAGGAAATTGCTATTATAAATTTGGCCTTGAAAATATTAGTTGCGGGTATTCAATACATTCTTGTGGATTAGGGAATTCCCGTTTTTAGTATTTTATTGAAACTATTTAGCGGGTAGGTACTTGTATTATGCATATTGTTCTACCATATTCATGGTAATTCATTGCAAGCAAAATGTGTGACCATCATCTCAACATACAAATGAAATACGCAGCATGCAGTGTTGCGCGGTGTTGCGCAGTCGAACCGCACAAATATTTACGAACATTTTGTGAAAAGGAATGCAGAAAAACTAGACTCGAGTTGCTGGACTCTTTTTGACCGTGTGAATGCCCAGAGCGACACCAAAAGAAAATTTGAAAAAGATCAGACTCTTTTGCATCCCTGTCTGAAACGGCACTTAGGGACTTTGAATGAAATATGTTTAAGCATGTGTGTGTGTTTCATATCTTTGCTTCGCCACTATTATATTACTCGCTGTTAGCTCTCTTATTATTGCTGTTGGAAAATCTGCGTCAGCATTGTTTTTGTCCTATTGGTTTTTGTCTGCTTTTATTTTCGTTATATCCAGTGAAACAATATACTATGAACTATAGGAATTATTGTTGTTTTTGTTGTTGTGATTATTGCTTACGCTTGTAGCGTAGCTATACAATTTCCTCGCTTCACTGGCACAAAGGATATCTGATCTTTGTGCTGCCACAGCACACACACACATACACACCTACAAGCATAAACGACAGCAAGGATATGCGTTGTATGCCTGTCAGTTTTATTTTTACTTGCCTTTGCTGACAATATTCTTTTCCTTAAAGATTTTCTTTTCATTTCGAACGAACACTTGCGTGGGGAGTTGCTCAGCGTTTTGTGTCGCAAAGCAACGAAAATTGAAAGTGTCTTTGGGCAACTGCCTGGCAATGATTGTGTGTTATATATATATGTGTGTATGTGTATATTATATACTATATGTATGTATATATGACAGTGTCTGTGTCTGAGAAATAATAATTTTGCTTGTTGGTTATTTGCGCAAGTGCGGATCCTGTGCGCGCTGGCAGTTGCCGTTGCGCAGTTCATCGAGCAAGTGGTTGCTGCAAGAATGGAGTTTAATTTTTTTCCTACTTGGTAGAAGTAAACGAAATTCTTCGATTCTCCTTGTGATTTTTTTAAAAACATTTTGTTTTTTTATTTTAATTTATTTTATTTATTGAAAATTATTATTGAAATTAATAAAAATGGAGAAAAATTGATTTTAATACTTTTTATTCCAATACAAAAATATTTGCGTGAAAATATTAGCCTACTGGTTCTAGTGTTAGTATGCGTAATTGGTCTGCTACGATGCATTTAACTCTGCATTTGAAAAAATTGAGATTGCTGAGCACTGAGAACTGATAAGTAGGTTTAAAGATAGTGATACAGTAGTAGATGATAAAAATTTAGAACCTAAGTGAAATCGTTAGGGTAGTTTTACAAATTTTTTTTTAGTCTTCCATTTTTTTTATATCATGTGGATTTAAAAAATGCCTTCAATTATACTCTGTTAATTATAACTTTCAAATTCTTGATATAGTGAATTAAAAAAAAATTAATTTTAACTAAATTTTAGGATAAAATATAAAGTACTTTCTAAAACCCCATTGAAAACGTTCAACTATTTCGTAAATTTAAATATTCTTCCTTTTTATAACAAATTTACTCATAATTTTTGAGTCCAGTTCACTATCGGACACAATTTATTTACTTGTCATTAATAAATAAAAATACAAAAATTCAGTGGTTAATAATCCTACATTGCCAAAAAAAACCTAACTTTCAAATGTTTTAGTTTGATTTAAAAAATTGTGATGTACATATCTCTAGCTACATTTCAGCCAGTAACAATTCAGAAATATCGGCGCTTCAATATAACAACACCCGATGAAAACGTTTGCCTTGTGTGCTCGAACAGAATCTTGCTGGAAGATACAATGCTCTCCATCGCAGAGAGTATTGCTTAACTGCCCTACCACGGCTTCTAAAACATACTGCTGTTATACTTTTACAGTTTTAATCCCTTTTTGGAGAATTGAAGAGATGTAACACCTTTACAGGAGATTCCCCACCAAACCATTACAGCAACTAAATGGTGACCACGTTGAACCCTCGGAATAATATTTTATGCGTCTTTGGAAGATTTTGTGTAGATTTCGCTTCTTTCTTATTAAAAATTTCTTCGGCAGTGACAATTTTTTTATCTGTAAAATGAATATACATGAATAATGAAGAAGTCGCTTACATCAGTTGAGCCTAATTTGCTTCAAACGTGTTTTA